AAGGGCGGGATATAAATAAATTTTATTATTATTATTATTATTATTACACAGAACTCTCAGGTTTATGACCTCTCCTCATATTACAGACTGCCTTAATTATTGGGCCTCAGTCAATCATAATGTGTTGTTTTATCTGAACTAGTCAGACTGTGATTGGATATATTATTAGTCACAACATGATTAACTTTCTGTTTCACTTCTAGGAGGTGTTCAACTCATTTGCAATAACATGGTAACCAGCACTAGAGCCATTGTGAACACAGCAAGAAGCATGGTTTCAACTATTATGAAATTCTTAGACTCTGGCCCTAGCAAGGCAACAGATAGTAGTCTGAAAGCAAGAGTGCTAGCTTCTGAGCCTGATAATGCAGAGGGAATCCACAATTTTGCACCATTGGGTATGTTAGTGCCACCTTCAAATTATTATTATTATCATCCTGTCATCCTCATTTTATTATATGGCACCATCAGTGTACATGGCACTTCACATGAGTGTTTTACAACCATTAGTTTGTCAGTTCCCTGCCCAGGCTTACAGTCTAAAAAGACACAGTACCGAACGAAAAGGGGATGACAGTGGGGAGGAGATTTCCAGTAGATGCTGACTGCTGTTTTCATAGGAGTTTATCACATGGGAGGAAATTAGGAGTTTAAACAGTAATTAACCTGTGAATATCGCACAGTTGACATTAAAATGTGATTAAAATGAGATTAACACAAGAGCCATTATTCCATGAATAACCAGGAAATAACCAGGCAATAAACAGCAAAAAAGTCATTCATGGGAAACTGTGAATGATTTGCTGCTGCTTCTTGCCTGGTTATTCACGGGATAATTTCACTTTAATCACGCTTCATCTTGACGTCGTGTGAAAATCATTAACGCAATTGTGGGATTAGAGGTTATTCACTGGATAAAGCACTTTGAACACGGTGTCATGTGAAAATCATTAACACAGTTGCGGGATTATCACAATTTAATCATTGTTTATACTTCCAATTGCTCTCTGTGTGATAAACTCCATAGCTGTAACATTTGAGACAGAGGGAAGACCTTTCCTCAATTGCTGGGCCTTGGCATGATGGAGCTGTGCCTGTCTGTTCTTCTCTTACCCTGGAGGCAATAACAGTGGCAGTTGGGATGGAGGGAGGGCCTTTCATCAGCTGCTGGGCCTAGGCAAGATGGAGCTGCATCTCGCTGTGCTTCTCTTCCTCAAGAGGTCCCAACTGCTGGGCCTAGATACTATGGAAATATATTTTTGAACTATAACAGAAACACTTTAAAGCTTTTGAAGCATTTTATGTATCATTTTAAAGCACTAAAATAAATATTTTCAAGCATACACACACACAGTATACTGTACTCATTTAATTCCTTGTCCTTAAATGGCCAAAACATATCATCCATATACATAGGAGAGAAAGAGAAATCACCAGATTGAGGGAAGCCCAGGGCCTTGCAGAAATACTAAAAAGCTGTAGATGGGAGTAACACTCAGTTTTCCCCATCACATCTACATACACCTTTTTGCAAGGTTTGCCACATCATGTGAAGTATATTAAGGCTGTTTAACATGCATCCTCACCCAAATTCTGAAGGTTTAGTTTCTTTAATTTGATCAGTTTTTTAATCCAAACTTTAGCCATCCTGCTAAAAAAAAAAGTGTACATGTGTCAGTAATACAGTCACTTGTCTCAGAATTATAATCCTAAAGGCTCAGCACCAAATGAAAAGGGTTTAGACAAGCAAAGGACAGTTGTTTACATTCTATTTTGTAGAATGCAAATTGATAGGAACAAATTATAGTTAAGAACTTCCTTTATATGGAGGACAAGTTTAACAGTGGTTGCATAACAATGTATAAATGGCTGAGCATGTGATATAGAATTGGGTGCTTCTGCCCCAGTCTCCCCCTTTCTGGATCTGGATTCATCTCTTCTTACTTAGAGGCTTTACTGTCGCCTTTCTGTTTCTTAATAACCTTTTATTTCTGAGAGGTTTGTAATCTTGTCTTTAAAATCCTTCTGCTTAATATATATATTGTTTGTTGTTTGTTAAAGGTTCAATTACATCAAGCAGTCCTACGGCCCAGCCTGCAGAAGTATTGCTACAGGCAACACCACCCCACAGAAGAGCTCGGTCTGCTGCATGGTCTTACATCTTTCTGCCTGAGGAAGCCTGGTGTGACCTTACAATTCATCTTCCTGCTGCAGTGCTGTTAAAAGAAATTCACATCCAGCCTCATCTTGCTTCTCTTGCAAGTATGTATAATTATGCATCATTTATCTTGTAGACCAAGGGTGGCAATTGTATGGTCTACCGAAGCCTTTTTACAGTACCTCCAGAGTCTCTTGAGCCACTGACGAGTGAAACAAAAATCAACTCAGAAGCAGATAATCACACACCAGAAGCCTCCAGCAGACACAATACTCTGATTTAATGCTGTTAAGGCCCACAGTAGCATTTTAAGATGGAGGGACATTATTATGGATTATGTTAGTAGATAAGGATGTTTATTCACACTGTCCTGGTTCAAATATAACAATCTTAGTCTAATAAACCTGTATGCTTGGTCATATGCAGTATATTGCTCACAGTGGATTATGGAATCTGATATTTATTTTAGCACCTTGAGACTTTGTACTCTTGAAACTAGAGAGGGGATTAGTTGCAAGCTTTCTGACATAGTTCTGGAAAATAAAGCAGAAAACTTTCAGGAATGAGGTGACTTTCTTTATCTTTCACTACACTTTATATTTTTTTTACTCCCAATTTCTGTTTCATACCCTGAATTTCCTTCTTTCTTTTCTCTAACCAATTATTCCTCACAATATGGCATAGACATTGACTTTCTTGATGCTGAATTTTGTTTGGGAGGAGGTGCCCATAGGAGGCATTGTACAGTGCACCCTTCCCATCCATGGGGATTCAGTTCTACCTTCCCCACAGATGGCAAAAAATGCAAATACTCAAGCCTTATATTCAATAGTAGTGATGTGCGCATGGATGCGTTAGCATGTCTATATGCATGCACTGCCATTGAATATATGGGCGTTGTGATCCACAGACAGTCAGATCCTCAGATCACCAGCCCATCATATGGAGGGTCCACTATATGTACATAAAGTCAACTCTGTTGTTTCAATGGCATTTTCAAGATAGTTCAATAGTTGTCTTTTTTAGTTTAGTTCAGAACTTAATGTGATATCACTGCAGGTTACTTTGAATTGTAGAAGTGTTTAACTTGATGAATGCCATGCCTTCCTTTGTTAAGGAAGACTGTTTCTTAATATTAAAAGCCCTGCAGATTCAATCAGAGACCTATTTAGTTAAGCATCCCATTTTTCACACTGGTCAGTAGAATGTAGGTAATAGCCTCTCCAACTGTTGTTCCTCAGCAACTGGTGTTCAGAGGCATGCTTCCTTTAATTCTAGAGGTATTACATACTCATCATTACTAGTTGCTATTGTCAGACTTCTTTATTAATTTGTCATCCCTTTCTGAAGACATACAGGTTACTGGCCATCGCTACATTTTATGGTAGCAAGTTTGAATAGTTTAACTGTGCAAAGTACTTCATTTTATCTATGTTGAATCACTCACCATTCAAATTTATTGGGTGATCCTAGGTTTGAGTATTAAGAAAATGAGAGAAAAAACTCTATTTATTAATTTCTCCATGCCATGCATTTACATCTGAGCATTTGTCATGCCCACCTTTAGCCTAAAGATTGTAACTTGTTTAAAAATGTGAGAGCTTGTATTTTTGATAGCTGTCACATAGCAGGTGAACATTTACATTAACCTATCTAATATAACCCCAAGATATTTTTCCTAGTCAATCATTTCTACCTCATCCGTGTTTATATGAAAAAGAACATGGCAGATATTGCCCCAGTGTAGATTGCATTCTCAGGACGGCAGGCAAAGTAATCCACTGGTCTTTTGGTTTTTACCCTATCCACGAGGCAGGAGTCCATGTTCTTTTTTTCCTTAACACTCCTAACCATCTTCTCCATCAGTGCATTATACTGCAAACTAAAGTTTGGATTTTATTATCTGCTCATAGAGTTTGGAGAGATCCTTTTGTTGCTGTTCACAATCCATGTTTGTTTTTACCCAATTTATGTAAAACTTGGCCACCTCACTGCTGACATCAGATCATTTATAAACATGCTTTAAAACAGTGGTCCCCAAACATTTTTGGGCTACTGCCCTGTTTCCTCTAGGGTGAGAACCCTAGCGCTGCCTCCCCCCTGCACGTTTCTTGATATTAGATCTACTGTTCTACTGCAAATTCAAAACAAACAGTCTCAGTTGCTGCTGTCTTAATAATAATAATAATAATAAAATTTATTTATATAACGCCCAATGGTT